AAGTTGGTAGTCTGAGCAAATATATTGTTAGTTTTTTTCCTATTCTGGAACATACTTCAGAAAAACTTCTGTGTCTTTTAATGTTTAACTCTGTAGAATTGGGTTTACACTCTAAAGTAATCCTAACTAGGCTCTCTTTTAGATGTATTCCTAGGGCTGCACATCCCATGGGCTTGATTGAGGGTTTGTCTCGTGGTTTGTTAGGTTCTACTGTCTTATTTTTCTCTATGGAATAAGTATTTACTTTTGACTTTTAGGTCCGTGGGAGAACTGAAATAGCACCAGATCAAAGAGAGAAATTTTTACAACGGTTACAGCAAGTACAGCAAGGCCACGGTAACCTCTTAGGCATACCTTCTCTATCTGGAGGAAATGAGAAGCAGTTTTCTTCACAACAGCAAAATCCTCTTTTACAGCAGGTACCATATTCTATTTTGTTTGTATATTGTGTACTTACCAGGTCTTGAGCACGTTTGTTTTGAATTTTATGGAATAATTACATGATTAATGGTACTCAGAACATAACATTCCATCGTAATAAGAGATTGTTTTTTTTTTAGTCTATTTCTCAGAGCCCCGCTATCTCTCCTCATGGTAGCTTGGGAATGGGAGTTCAGGCACCAGGATTTAATGTCATGAGTTCTGCCTCCTTACAGCAGCAGTCAAATGCCATGACTCAACAACTGGGTCAGCAGCCTTCTGTTGCAGGTAAAATCGCCGTTTAGGTTATCTCAGTAGTTTATGGTATGATTGTGGATAGACTCTGTGTCTGGGTCTGGCAACTATCATCAATGGCAAAATACAAACTAAGGTTTATATACTTTTATTATAATCATTGTTTGTGAAGTTAAACCACTTTGCAAACACATCATGGCAGTTACTTAAATCCTTGAGTTTTTGGTTTGGAGTTGTGAAAGTACAGATATAAAACTTAGCAATATAAAGGACCTGTTCTTGATGTCTGTGCAGATGTAGATCATGCCAGAAATGATGACCAGCTGCAGCAAAACTTACCTGATGATTCAACTTCCGTAACAGCTTCAAAAAGTCTTCCAAATGAGGATGATTCTAAAGTTATGTTTGATACTCCGGTAAGCATGATATATGCCCACACTTAAGTATTTGTTTGATATGCACTTGCCATCAGATATAGAATTTAACAACAAAAAATGAATAAAATTTGTTCTGTCTTTGTTGGTGTTGGTGAGAGTTTTGGTTTGTCATTTCTTTGCTTAAACTTCACATATGCAAATCAACAGTTAATGTGGTCTATGGATACAC